CCTGTGGCCAGAAAGGCCCAAGCCAGAAACACCCCAGGCACCAGGCAAACATCAACACCCTTGTTCCAAGTACTAATAAAAAGGATCAAAATAAACAATGCCTTACCTTCCTCTGTGTGTCAGGAGATGCAGTAAGGTGGGGGGAGGAAGGAAAACAAGATTAAATTGATTAGATTTAAAAAAAAAAAAATCTCAATTTCCACAGTAAGTAAGACTGCTCCCTACTTGGCTGTGTCCTCTGGCATCAGCCTCCTCTCAGAGAAAAGATCCTGAGAGAGCTCCAGAAAGGGGACCAGCTTCAGAGGTAGGGTGCAGATAAATCCAGCCATCTGGCCCCTTTACCTGGTGAAGCCCTCATCCTGCAGGTTCAGTACCAGGTTATCTGCTGTGAGATACACACGGTTTTGTGAGCCAGCAATCTGAAAAAGAAATCCATTACAGAGATGCCATGAAGGAGTATAAATGCACATGGAGGAATAGCACTAATGAAGAACCTATCTTCCCCTCCAGATACAGCACTCCTGCTTTGTTCCCTTAAGATCTCAGTTAAATCAATGCAATTCCCCAAAACAACTCTGTAACTTTGTGACTTCCCATCCCAGTGCCATCAGACTTTCTAAAAGAAGTGCTCATTCTGTCTCTGTCAGAAAGACCTTTGAACCCACGCTCATCTGTTCCCCTTTCTCAGCCTGCAGGATACCAGCTTTTGGTGGCTGCAGCTGAGTGTGGGTGATGGAATCTGATGTGGATCTGGCCTTGTCACATGGTGGGCATGAACTCCTAGCCTCCCATCTAACTGCTGATCATTTCAAGCTAAACCTTAAGCTCTATCTGAGCAGAGAAGGGCTGGGTGGGAACAAAGATCAGGACAGGGCGGGTCACATTCGCCTTAAATTCATCATATGGCCACTGGGCTGGGAGGACAGCACAAGGACAAAGGAAATTCTGTGCCCCAATGCTCACCGTTTTTGAGATGTTTTGAGCAGCTCGGATCTTACGTAGCTTGATGTAGCCTGGGTTCCTGCTGAGAGCTTCACCGAGGTACAGGGCAGCAAAAGTTAAGGAAAAGCCTGCTAACAGAAGCTGCCTACCCTCAAGGAATTCTTCCTAAGCCATATTATCAAACATCTCAGGGGAAAAAGCAATCTCTATCCCAGTAACTTGGGCCTTTGGGCAGGCATATTTTTACCTTCCCAAATCAAGAACAATGTTATGGATTATGGTCACATGCAGCCAATGAAAGTCAAACCTTGCAACAGGGAGTGAAGGCTCATGGCCTTCTCTGCTCTGACCTGTAACCTCAGACAAAATCTCACTCTAGCCAACTGGGGGGGAATAAATGACAGTGACCTATTTGAAGCTATCATCTGTTAACAGTCTCCTAAAGGGGAGCCCAATGTGACAGAATCTAAGGTCTGTCAAGCTCACAAGCCACATCCCACAAAATCTCCCAAAGCAGGATATCATCTTGGCAGCTGTAGCTTCCCCTTCGGCCTGAACAATCTTCTGCTTCTGCTCCTGCTTGGCCTTCTCCACCAGAAACTGGGCGCGCTGTGCCTCCTGCTGGGCTGCAGAGAGAATGGCCAAAAGCATTGGAAGCAGATCCCATCTTCTGAGCCCTCCACCAGAACCCTAGAGCTGAGGCCTTCGGGCTCTGCTTCCGAAAAAACAAGATAGCATTCCGGGGCCATATCCACAAGTACCAAATGTATCTTGAGTGTACTTTACTTTTTCTTAAATAAAATCAACAGCATCCAGACCCTCTACACACAATCCCCACGGTAAGTGTCAAGAGTCCCACTCTGAAGAGGAACCCTAGTCTTGGGAACTCAGTCCCTCTGATGGTCTATCTCATTAGCTATGACCCCAAGTTTTCTGATAATACTTGTAAAATAACCTGTTTAGCTCCATCATTAAGGAGACTGAGATTTATAACTCTGTAGCTGTATTGATGCAAAAGCAGTGGCACGCTAGCCCCAATTCTGCTTCCTTGTTTAATCACTTGGTGAAAAGGCAAAGGCAATCTACCCTTTTCAGACATAAATTGAACTCACCCACTTGCTTAGCCTCCACTGCTGCTGTGTATTCACGACTGAAACTAAGCTCTGTAATAGCCACATCATCCAGGATGAGGCTGAAATCCTTGGCTCGCTCTGTCAGTTCTCGCCTAATGAGCAGAGACACCTGAAACACAAATACAGCAAAAAGAGTACCAAACACAGGCTGTTTCTCACTTCTGTGCACTGCAAAAGCGAAGCACAACTGCTCTTCACAGTTCATTCACATCGGGCCTGAGAGAGACATTACCTAAAACAAACCCTGAGCCATGGACATTCATACCATCTCATCTCTAAATCTGTTGCCTCTAAATAACGCTGCATAACCATAGCTACACATTTTCAGAAGTATATGACAGCTTATTTATAGTTATTATTTAACTATACTATGCAATTAATATTCCAAAGATAAAAAACCTTCTTGAAAGTTTTTTTTTGCTTTCACATCCTACCACATCTAGTTCCACAGTTCCCACATGTTTTGGCAGGAAGTATTTCCTTCTCCACCTTGAATTTGTCACTGTTCATAGTTTCACTGTCTCCTCATATGTGTACTCAGACACCGAAAAAAAATTACATAATTATTTTTACTACGTATCACGTCTCTCAATTACTGTGGCTATTTGTCTAGTGTGGCCACTCCACTTTTTTTAGTCTCTTTGGGTGAGTGTTGTCGGTAGATATTTTGATTTATTCTACCTTCAACTTGCTAGCACCTTCCTCAGGCAGGCTGACAAGTCCTGCACCAAATACTGACTTAAATACAAATTATTGCTACAGTACCACATGCCTGACCAGTCTAGCATTTGCTTTTACTTTTATTGCAATCATTTCTGAGCAAAGTTCTAAAATGATGCCAGAAGCCTTTACTGCGTGAAGTGCGAGTGCGTAACTACGTAAAGTCACTTCACTTTCTTCTGATTATCAACCGCTTCAATACACATCACTTTTTAGTAACAAACACTGGATGAATATATGACAAGAAGGCAAATTCAATTCAGTTTGTTCAGATATTTGTTCAGAGATACTTAGCAGTCGTCTTTGCTTCTGACAAACCTAAGTCCCTTGCAGACATTGTTTCTTCGCTGTCCCATCCTCCCTTTCCACTCATTCTCTTTATACAAGAGCATTAAGAAGTCCCTTCAGTGCACACCATGTGGCCTAGCACAGAAACCTGAAGTCCCTGCTATGGATGAGTTCTGACAAGACCTGGACACTCAGTTCTACTCTTTGCTTTTTTGTCACGGATCAGGAACTAGTTAAGAGATGCTTTGTGTTTTGTCTGACAACTTATCCTCTTTAGAAGTCTCATGCAGGATCTCCTCTAAAGCCTTTTAAAAGAAGACCAGCAACTTCTCTCTCCCTCAGCTGCGATAGGTGATGGATATTCTCAGAATCCCTGGCAATCAAATTACCAGAACACAAACTTTCAGATATAGGCTTTTTCAAGCTAAATATTTCCATTATTTTGCACGCCCCCCCAAGATTACCCTCTAACCTTTTCCTAAACAGAAATATTTGTTACCCTTCTGTAGCATCCATTACTGAAAGTTTACTGATTTGTTAACTGCTCATCCACTTCACTTTTCAGATCCCTTAAAACTGTTTAATTTGCTCTGACAGCTCTTCTGAGGCCCACACAGGGCCAGGTAATAATTTTTTTAAAAGCCAGTTCTACTGTTACCTGCGGACTATGATGTGAATCAGCTCTCCCTCCCCCATCATTACACCATGCTGTGGTCTTGCACTCTTTATACCAACGAATCCAGTCTCCTCCTCAGAAGCTAGTGACACAGCCTTAGCGTTTGTACCGGAATCACACTGGAAGCGGGATACATTTCCACGCCTTTTGCATTTGGATGCACCCTCTACCGGCCCAACATACGTATCCTTTACCTGTTACAACATTCCCCATATCCACAGTTCAGCTGTTTCTTTGTAACCTGAGCCCAAGACTCCTCCAGAAGAGTTTACCTGGGCTCTCTGAGTGATGAGCTGTGAAGCGTTAAACTTGGCTACCACGCTCTTGAGCACTTCATTAACGATGGAAGGCAGGACTCGCTCCTCGTAGTCCAAGCCCAGGCGCTGGTACATGCTGGGCAGCTCTGCAGCGTTGGGGCGCGTGAGAACGCGCAGGGAAATGTTCACCATCTGCAAGTCTGAAGAGGAGGCAGAGAGATGAGCGGGGCCGGCCGGACTCCTGCCCTCTCCAGGCCTCGTCCTCTGGCCCGCGGGGCCGCTCTCACCTTTGGAGCCGGTGGGGGAGGAGATTTTCCGTGGCCGGGCTCGAATATCGTAGATGATGGGGTACTGGAACCAGGGGATCCTGCGAGGGGCGGGAGGAGGGTTACGGCGCGGGCAGCCGCCGGGGCCGGGGCCGGGGCCGGTCTCGGTGCGGGGCGGGAGCTGGACCTTACCTGAAGTGCAGCCCCTCGGCGAGGATGGTGTCCTGCTGGACGCCGCCGATGCGGTTGAAGAAGATGGCCCGCTGGCCGCCTTCCACTGCGGGGGAGAAGGAGCGCGGTCAGCGCGGGGAGGCGGAGGAACCGGGCGGGAGGCTGAGGGAACGGGACGGACGGACTCACCGATGAAGACGGACTCGCGGACGCCGTAGGCCAAGGCGCCGGCGCCCAGCAGCAGCTTGAGGGCGGTCCCGACGCCCCGCGGCCCGGCCGGCAGCCGCCCCGCCAGGTCCTTCAGGTTCTGCGCCATGGCCGC